AGCTTCGCCGTCTGAAAATCCTAAAACATAAGCTCCCCCTTCACCGTCTTCATCACTCTCGATATCCTCTCTGTTATATCTTCTTTCAATATACACCTGCGCTTGCCTCCTGTGCAGACGCAAAACATGCATGATCACATCGGGAGTGAGGGTCACCCGTGAATGGTCCTCTCGCCCTCTTTTATTAGCTTCCATTATCTGTTCATTAATTAATCAACAAAATTGGTAGATGTCAGCAATGGGAATTCAAGTACGTTAAAAGCAAGGTGCTTGGCTAAAAGTAGTACCTCGAGAACATTTTCAGGCAGAGGTTTGATAACATTCGAAGATGGAGCCCAGAGCTTTATGCTCTTCTCTATTCCACAAGTGGCAAGAACAGGAATGACGGGGTGGGGCTCCAGCTGATTTACAATGTGTCTATCGCCAACCATCAAACGCACAAGTTCTGCCCCCTTCTTCTTCCAGATAAACACGTGACCACAATCCGACCCGCTTAAGACATATTCATCATTCGGACCAAAGAAATTCACCCCTTTAACTGTCTGTGAATTCCGATGACCGGAATAAGTTTGTACTTCTACCAATTTTTGCAAATCTTCAGGCGGTGAAGCAAAAGGATTAGGGCCCAATCCCAAGTTTTTTTGGAACAAATATATGAGCTCGTCATTGTAGGAGACGAGCAGTTCACTTTTGTTGGAGTAAGCCAGTGCTGTAATGTGAACGTCGTTTGTCCTAATCAGGTGACGAGGGCAAAACATGTTGAAGGGGCTTCCTTCTTTAGTTGAAGCATTCAGTTGGTACTTTCTTATGTCATAAACACGTGCATATGCATCAGCACCTCCTACAGCAAAATAATTAGGATTCCTTGGGTCGATGACAATGGCATTTAACCCAATACTATTGCTTGAAGACTGCTTGTCTTCTGTGAAAGATGAGCAATAGAAAAGCTTCGTAGCAGAATTACTCCGTAAATCATACTGCAAAAGAGAAAGGAGCCAGAGTTGATAAATTATAAAAAGGAAAAGTTTTAGAAACATGAGAAATTAGAAAGCCCACGTGTTGGACAAAGCCATCTTCACCGCAGCTATAAAATATGTAAGGACTTCCGGGTTCCACTGCAAGATTATGCACACGACCTTGGTGCTTGGCCAATCTTTTTGTCTCTACCTGACCATTCTCCAACACCTCGCCAAGCCTGACCTACAGTAGGAATTTTTTTTTTTAAACACAGTTAGATATATTTACATCTCACTCAAGTCAATGGAGATTCATAATCAATGGGGTCGTTTAAGGAGGAAAACTGTTCATAGTGATAAGACTGAATGCAAACCTACCTCACCCACCCACACACACACAAAAATGGACGCTATTTGCTAACACAAGATACACTCAATGTGTACTTCGGTTGTATTTTCTATTATTGCTTATACGTATAATGCTCTTAATTTGATGGATTAGTGCTTTGGCCCAGAATGAAGACTTCATTGATTGACCTCAAATACGAGGAAAAAAATCCTTTAAATGATGAACCAGTGGGGTTGCAATCAATTTTTTATCCCAATTAAGATAAAGTAGACAGGAGGTGTACATGGGAACTAAATAAACATCATTAATTAAAATAATCCATCTAATAATCTTTACAAGAGGGAATGAATGGTAAGCTCCTGTTGCCACAAAAAAAAAAAAAAAATTGAATACAAAGATAGAGATAACACACGCGAGAGAGAAACATAGAGGTATTAAAAGCCTCCTATTTCCATAAGAACAGAGCCAATCTTAATCGAACTTGCCCAAACACGGTGCAGGTTGAAAGGGGGTGTTTTTTCTTTCACTACAAATTATAATATAAAAGAATTTTCAATACAGAGTCCCGGAGAATCAAATTCTATACAAGGACATCTTGTTGAAGAATTAAACCAGTGATATAAAAAATGACTCTTTTATTATGAATTGTCCAAAATTAAAAGCTCTGCATTCAAAAAAAAAAATAAAAAAATTGGGCAAGTCATAGCTGTGTCTTGTAGAAACTGCCTTTGGCTGGAACAGACAAAAATTGGGCATTATAGAGGAAAGTAACGTCAGAACTTTCACCATTCATTTTCATTCTTCAAACTCATATGTATCCTCGTGAATGTCTATAAACCATTAGACACTTGACCTATAGATTGTGAAGGAAATTTTTGTCCAAAACATATATTATTCTCTTGCAAAAAAAGCATATATTTAGGTAGTTCAATTAATTCCGATGTGCCTGTCACCCCTCAACAAAAAATACACTATTGAAGCAATAAACCCATCATCCAACTCATTTGATACTCAATTTTTCAGTACTTCGCCTATACTACAGAAACTAAATGCATACTAGGGCATAAAATTACAACTAAGAATGTAAATTAGCACCCAATTTGAAATACTTCATCTAGTTACTATAGCTGTGTTTGAAGCTTTTTTCTTTTAAATTAATTGGTAAACTAAGAGAATTACTATCACAACATAATCAACAGTTATACAGGGCGCTTCAAACTGCATATGCATGGAGAGAATTACCTGACAGTCGGCAGATGAAGTTACTATTTTGCGATCATCAGTGAACGGCATGATTCTGGCCTGGAATATGTTGTCCAAGTGACCAGATGGATATAAAAATTTTAATTTATGCGCTGCCCAATCCCAAAATATTATTTGTTTGTCATCAGAACCTGACACAAGAAGGTCGCCAGTGGAGTTGAACTCAATGGTATTTACACATCCTTGATGGCCATTTAGTTTACCATATAGATCCATCTGCTTGACAAGGGTCTGCACCAAGAAAGAAAACGCTACCTTACATGATTTATTATCTAGAGCATAAAATATTTGGCATTCAAATTCATTCTACTTGGATCAGAACATCGCTGACACAGAATTTAACAGGATATATAATTACCAAACTATAAATTGTGAAAACATGAATATATCGTGCCTGTACACATCTACCCGTAACGATTTTCCTGGAAATGTAGAAAGGCCAAACTCCGGGGATTTATGCCCTTTCTTAAAAGTCAACATCTCAAGAGGCATGAACTCAATAACCTATTTCCTTTACCCTTTCAAAAAACTGCTTCTTCTGTAAAATTTCATTAGCAAACCCATGATAACCCCAAAAAGAAAACTTATGGGGATGAAGATGTTTTATGAAAGGAAAGATATCAACTTAATGCCATCAGATTGAGTTCTATGTATAAAATAAAATTCACAGCAACAGTCTCATTCCATTAATGAAGTGCTTCAATCAGAAATTCAGAGAGATATTGAATAATATTTCTTCCACAATAATTTATGAGATATCGCAGGTATCACACTATTCTTTTTATATTTAGATAAGAAACAGCATAGGTACGAAATTAAGTTCATCCCGCGTCTTTATAAATATGTTAATGAAAGCGAAAGGGGAAAGTAACTGATTCGTACTTCTTTGTCATCAAATTGTTGCAAAACATGTAATTTATTTTCCTTGATTGACTGGACATCAATAGAATAATCATAATCCTTTAAGAGTCTCTGATATTCACAGTCAGTCGCCACCATACATATAGATAATCAATATTGATCTACACAAGGGAACGGTAAGTGTAGCCCAAGAAGGCGTGTGAACTTATTGCATGCTTATAGTACCGAATAGGATTAAGAAGAAAAATTAGCTCAATAAGTATTTCTGGCTTGACCCTAAAGAACCTATTAATTTCATCATAGATCAAAACTCTAACTTTTACACTCAAAACAACCATTGAAAACTCCATAACACCATCCAATTATCCATCAATCGATAAACTAACACCATCAACAAGCTAAAAAAAAAACAGGTGAATTAACTAATCAAAACGCTTATACCTAAGGGTAATCCGATAATATACAGAAAAGGTGAGTCGGTGGACCTGAGAAGCAGAGATGCGTCTGGAGAAAGTTGTCGGGGGAGAAAAACCAATCTCCCTCTTGAAGAATTCGATCAACCCATTTTCAGAATTCTTATATAGTTTCTCCATATCACCTCAGTTTTCGCTACTGAAAAAATTGTTCCTACTGTATAAAACCGTACAAATAACACGCAGACACTGAACGGACATCTGAAGAAGAAGCAGAAATAGGAAACTAAAATGAGTTCATTATCAAATTAAAAGTAAACTATACGAACATTTGGGTACAAAATATAATCATTGTTAGGAAGGAACTGGAAAATTCATTACGCCTCATGATCACAGATTTGAGTAGAGCTTTCTAAAGCATGGACGGCTAATTGTACGACGTCGTTAAAGCAAGGTGATAAAGATTTTTGACGTCATATGATGTGCAACCCACCGTCTCAACTGTAATGTGTATAGTGTATATATATATATTTCTTTTTCACTTTTCAATGACACATTCGTCTGAAGTGCCAAAATATAAATTCGAATTTTTAAGTACCCGGATTGTGATTTCCATTGAATTATTTAGAATAAAAAAATCAATCTAAAAACATGTACATCAAATTGATGTCAGGTTTGTATTGACAATTTTTTTATACATTAATTCTAACAACTCTCTTTTTTTAATCAATGATCAAACTTTGATGTAAAAAAATTGGTGTATAGCTAGCGTAAGTCTTAAAAAAACAGTGATCTATATTTCCAACTTGTTTCGCCCCCGTTTGAATCTCATTTTTTTTGGAAAATTTTTCATTTTGTTACAGTGAAGTTGTACTGAAAAAACAGAAGCAGTACATTAATTTCGTCAGAGTACAGATTCTTGCCATAAAACTACCGATTTTGCCCTCCAATCAATTTGCAACAGTGAACAACACCTCAAAGCAATACATTTTTTTGTCAAGGCATTTTTGGAATTAAGGAAATAATGGACGGGTGTCAGGTGCTGTTGACAAGTTCAAGGACGTTGGGGCCCACACATTAGTTAAGTTCCTGTTCAAAAAATAGAAAAAAACGGATGCCAAACGGGGGCTCAGTTTGTAAAACTAAATCCCATAAATTGTCAATGCATAAAATTAAAATCTAAGGGCGGAGTCATAACCCAACGAGCCCTTGTGGGTGCTCGTGTTGGCTCCGTCGGAAAAAAAAAATTTCCTTATATTGGTTGGCCGTTTGACTAATTTAAATTTGTAAAATTGAATCATGAATTGTGAATGCATAATGTTAAAATCCGAGGTCGGAGCCAATGCTCAACGAGCCACAATGGCCGCCCATGCAGGCATCGTCGAATCTTTTTACCCCCTTATATTAGCCACCAGTACTCACCTGAATTCCTGGATTCGTCACTATTAAAATTATGCATGATATTAAAATTGAACGCTAAATAATTTAATAATTTTATCCTCCAACTTCAAATCACGGATATTTTAATAGATTGAAGACCCAAAGCCATGCTAATTGAAAGAGTTGGAAGCTCGACCCTTATTGACAATCCCAAGAGACTTTTAAGTTTGCATTTTAATTATAAAATACTATTAAATTATAAACTGTGATTAAAAAGTAGGAAAATTTTTTGAATTTACTTGCATAATATTTTATTGTGAGAATGTGTAGTTGAAAATTAAGTTTGATAAAAAAAAATTGTAAATGATTATCAAACAGAGGCTAAATAACCAAACAGGAGAATTTTGCGCTAGTATAGTACTCTTATGCAAACACAACACTTGAATATGGGAGAGGAGTACAAAGAGCCGGAAAGGAAAAAGAGGAGAGAAGAAGCAACGAATGAGATTGATAGCTTCTTCTAGAACATGAGTTTTCGTCGCTGGATTAAGACAACTTAGCTACTTGTCTAAAAGAGGAACGAGGGTAGGAAGTTGACTTGTTTGAAAGAGAAACTAGAATAGGAAGGTGACTAACTTCATTCGGAAACGCTAGAAAGCTACCGAAAGAGGCACATCAAAAGGTCTGAAATAAGTCTAGCCTGCCAAGGATATGTATAGTTTGATAAAAAAAAATTGTAAATGATTATCAAACAGAGGCTAAATAACCAAACAGGAGAATTTTGCGCTAGTATAGTACTCTTATGCAAACACAACACTTGAATATGGGAGAGGAGTACAAAGAGCCGGAAAGGAAAAAGAGGAGAGAAGAAGCAACGAATGAGATTGATAGCTTCTTCTAGAACATGAGTTTTCGTCGCTGGATTAAGACAACTTAGCTACTTGTCTAAAAGAGGAACGAGGGTAGGAAGTTGACTTGTTTGAAAGAGAAACTAGAATAGGAAGGTGACTAACTTCATTCAATAAATCTAGAAAGCAACTGAAAGAGGCACATCAAAAGGTCTGAAATGAGTAACAAAACATAACCCAGCTTATTCATTCTTCTATTTAGAGTTGTATATACCTTAATCCACGTTGATTGGAATTGTGTATCAAATTACAACATTAAACAGTTTGAATTTAGAACCCAAAATAGAGCTCTTTGGGATAGTAATGTCAAACTGAATAGTTAGAGCAATGTATGAATTAAGAATTGAGCTCAACTACTTTCAGAAGTATTATTACAAAATGAGTAATATCCAACATAACCTATAAAAGCTACACTGATTACTTGGTTACCAGCTTTACAATTACTTAATCCTAAGAGAGATATTTAACATACCATAAAACGAATAACAAGCTCCCTTTTATATCGTTGCATCTAAACAATCTTCACCCAGGATTTTACAATTCCGTGTTAAAGAGAAGAAGCAAAAGAATTTCTAATTGCCACCAAAAATTGTTGTTTTCCCTTTGCTACTTTTGCAAAATTTCAGGAAAACCAAAAGACTAGTAGTCTTCATCGTCAGTTAATAAAGCAAAGGAAAATGGCCTAAATTTGTAGCCATCGCCATTGTAGAACTTGTTCTGAAATTCAACCCAATGGAGACGCAATGCATGCAGGAAAGCACGGAGACTTTCCATCATTAGTAGTATAAAAGCTGTAGCGAAAGCAAAAACTGCCAGACCAATCAATCGTATGACGATATTGTCGTACCTGCATTGATCAACAAAGATGGGGGTAAAACGTGGATGGTTCTCACTTAAAGTTGAGCATAGGAAGAAGATGAGAGTATTATATTTCTTTTTTCACATAGATAAGCGCATTACTGTTTGAAGCACAGTACACAGGAATATAGTTTCATCATACAAGTGCAAACATTGATCATTGGGAAACATAAAAAAGGAAAATGCTTGGAATCACATTCTATTTGAGTAAAGATTACCTGCTGTCTCCTAACACCTAGCCCATATAAATATACCACGGCATACAACTAAGGTGACAGCAAATTTGTTAATAAATCAAAATACTTAGCAGGTTATAAATAATCAGCTTGGCATGACACTGAATTTTGGGGCGGTATAGTAATTGACATGAATCACATATAACTTGGTAAGGAAAAAATAAAATTTATGCTGGGTGCCTCAAATGCCATGTTAAAGTCAGCAGGACGGTATGTTAAATTGCACAAGGAACATAATGCACAAGAGTAGATGAAAGTAAGAACTTACCCCCAGGCAAGGAGGAGAACTTTTTCATAGAAAACGGTTGATAATTCTGAGTGGGCCAAACTGCAATAAAACATACCAAATGAACAAATTCGAAAATGAAGAATACGCTGAACCATATATTAGAAAATTACCCTACCTCAAAGCCCACGGCCGAAGATATGATGCAGTAAACTGCACCCAGTACAAACTCAATAGCGTGTATCATCTGATGCACAAACACCTCACTAAAATTGAACTCGTCAAGGTGTGGTTGCCTTGCAGAGTCAGGTTCCTCCTCAATATACATCTCAGAGGTTCCAAGAATTCCATGTCCGACCTTGAAATCTCTTAGATATGTCAAAGAAAATTGGCAGAGTCAATCACTGATTCACCAAACCAGCTAGTGTATGATGCTTAACATCATCAAAGCAGTTTTAATGTATCCACATGAGATGAAAACTTCAACAAGATACTGAAATAGTATAAGATGATACTTAGATTTAGCACCACTCTTTCATTTCCGATATCTTCAATAACATATTACAAATGTTTCCCAGAAGTCATAGATAATATACAATCTTGCGAAAACATGTATATGACACAAAAAATAACTGTTAACAAAACATACGAGTAAAAGAATGAAAAATGTTGTCTAACTGACAAACCAGACAAAAATTGGTTTTCTGTAGTTAAATTCACACATGTATACCCCTCCAAAGTGAGATTGAGATCCATAGTTTCCTGAGATAATTAATAAAAAAGGAATCTACATAGATCTAAGATACAGGGGAAGGAATTGTTGAGGCCAAAATTTCAGGCATAAGGATGGAAAAGGAATTATCTATTGAAGACATTTTAACTCAAAAGGAACTGATTCTACTAATATTAACAATAATTTTCTCCATCACAATTATTGTCACACTCAGAAAAGGCATTAAAAGTTCTTAACAGAGAAAGTGATGTGAATGTTAGAAGGGCAGGGAAACAAGAAATACTGGGGCTTAAAACAAGAAGGGAAGTTTTGTGTCCCTTTAATTCGATGGATAAAATAAGAGTAGGAATGATTCTAGACTTCTAGTTGAATCCATGTAAAAAACAACACATGGGAAACAGACATTACCTCAGTGTGAAGTCTCTTCAAAATAAAAGGTTTGGGGAAGAGCATCCAGGGAACAGCAATAACTGCTGAAAATAACAATATGACCTGCAAAACTTTCATTGAACAATCAAGGCTGAAAATCAGACATGTTCACCATAACGAAATATACAACATAAAATAGATATCATGCCTGAACTACACTCTGACCCCAGAATAGCTGATTATCATGCAGATCCTCAGAAGGACTTAAGAACGTGTAAATCATCACGTGGTACAGGTCTGCTTGAGAACCAGTACACCATTTGATAATGATGAGAAGAGAAAGATATCCAAAAAGGCTGTTAAGAAAGATCATCTGTGGCACAAACTGATACCTAAGAATAAAGGACGCGATAATCCCTCACACTGGATTTCAAACAATTCAAAAAATGGGAAAAGAAGAGGAAAGAAAACACACTTAATATCAAGTGAGTTGCCAAAGTAACGTGCATTGAAATAACTTAGTACGATTCCTAGGTTCATCTGCACCACCCCTAACAAAATAGACATCTTCATCTTGAGTGAATTCAAGAAAGGTAGCTCAGAACGACTTCCACGCCAACTTGGATCGACACCAAACGGGTATGCATCACGATATTTGACTAAACCAACGGAATAAGCGTCACTGTTAAAGTCAACAGACAGTTAACAGTATGAGAGCATAATTCAAAAAAATAAATGACGAAATTTAAAATCTATATATAATTATACTACAAAGGAGCCTCCACAACCTTGCTGATGGTCTAGATGAAACGGAAAGGCGAGAAGGAATGAACTTAAGAAATTAGAAGGCTGAGCAGCAGGCTGAATAATCTTGTCTAACATCTGGTTAAAATAAAAGCATCTCAGATGTCAACTATTTCCTAGCAAGCTATATTCAGGTTGATAAACTTCAATTACCCAATTCAACTTGCTCATGTTTAGTTAGATTTCAAGAATACAACAATGCCCTCGGAGACTCAGCAAATACCAAGTATTCTACTTAAATAAAAGAGTGAAGGGTTGTGGCACTATTCATAAGAACTATTTCTAAACACTATTCATAAGCCGCCGGCTCGGCTCGATTTTTTTTTT